CAAGGCAAAAAGCAAAAGAAACACTCTGAAGAGTTCCTCACACACGGCCTGTGGAGTAAATCTCGGCATCCGAATTACTTTGGCGAGGCGACGTTGTGGAGTGGTATTGCGATTGCGGCGGCGGGGTTGCTGGTTAGACAGCCGGCGCAGGCGGCGTTGGGATTGAGTGGCGGGATTGGCGGGCAGGTGCTTGTTGCGGGTATGTGTGCGGCTAGTCCGGCTTTTGTGTCTTTCTTGCTGCTGAAGGTTAGTGGGGTGCCGTTGAGTGAGGATAAGTATGATAAGAGGTATGGGGATCGCAAGGATTATCAGAAGTGGAAGAGGGAGACGCCCATGTTTGTGCCGAAGATTTGGTAGGTTGATGGAGAGGAGTGTAGAATATACGTCTCACTCTGGTCGTGTCAGGAGATAAGGCTGTCCGAGTATGGGGCAAAGTGGAAGTCGAACAAGGCGTAGAAAAGAATTCCAACGTCCTTTCTCCCTCAGTTTTTCGGCGCGTTCTCTACTATTCGCAAAGCCTCTTCGTCCATGATTCCTGCTTCCACCAACGCCGTAACCGCATCGCGTATCCAAGTCTGACAATTCCGTATCTCTACCTTCTTTCTCGGTACCTACCACATCCAGTCAATCAGCCATCCCATAAATCGCTTACACATCACAAAACTCACCTTACTATCCGCAGCGATCAAACTCGGTCCCGGCGGCTTTACACCCAACACGATCTCCTCAAGCCTATCTCTCGCAACTTGATCAACAGACCACTTCCCGTCACCCATTACATCGACAACATGCTCGTCCGCAACTTCCCCCAAAGAGATGAGTTGGTGCCGCCTTCCATCAGCACCAAGTTCGTGGTTACGTTCGAATTCAATACTAAAGCCAGTTGCTGCATCACCGGTTGCGTTGAGATACGTTCCCGTTTGAGGGTCGCTAGACGAGAGATGCGGGATCCAGAAGCCCCAGTGCGCGGGGAAGAGGGGGGAGTTGAAGACGATGAGGTAGATTGGTCGGGGCATATTCTACTCTTCGGTGATGAGTGTGGAAGGATTGGGGTTGAGGCTGTATTCGGAGGTTTTGCTGGCAAGCAAGGGGGTGCGCAGCGCTAATGCACTGTGCCGCCCCCGCGATCAGCGTTGCATACCTGAATGTCTTAAACGTGCTAGGCATCAGCGTTGTACCTGTATACAAGAAAGATGCTTGAGAATCTTTTGGATAACGAAGTCTCTAGTTCCTCAACATGTTGCGGTAGACAATCACAAGTCGTCACACTACTGCAATAGGAGAAATCGCATTCCATCCTTGCAAGATGCCGGTTCTAGAGTTACCAGTCTGGCTTCGCATGTTTGTTTGATTCCATGACACTCTGTTCATCAGACTAACGCCATCTAGTGTCTTCTTGGTCCTCACGACATCATCCTTCATACCACAACTTCACCGTACCGTCTCCAGAAAGAACAGTTCAGGCATGTCGACAAACTACCTGCTATTCAATCTCATCTCAGCAACCGAACAATTCGCCTTCACGTTCTTCTACATTGTAGATTCCATTCGAGAAGACAAAGGTTTTCACCGCGAACCCGTAACCGTAGGGAGTTGGATCGATCTAACACAGACCGTTGTTGTACTGCTGTATTGGCTTACCTTGTATGCACCCGTTGCATTCCCTCCATTTCTCCAGCTCAAACAGCACAAGCACTGACTCTCATCGTTTACGATAGTTCAATCCTACATCTCCACTACCCCTCCCCCTACCGCGACGTCTCAACGCGCTCCGCCATAACAGTCTACGTAGCGTATTTCTCCATACTGATCTTCCCCATCTTCGTCGATGCCTTCTACGCTAACGATATATTCTGGTTTTACCACATCATGTTCGCCTGGGCATGGCATGGCGCGCACATCCTCGGCATCAATTGGATTGTCATCGGTTTGGTTATCGCGTCGTTTTTCTGGCAGGCGAGAGCGATTCGTGCCGAAAGGGAAGAGGAAGAAGAGGAGGAGAATCGGGACGAGGCGAAGGAGGAGGCGCTGAGCCGTTTGGGGCTTGCGATGCAAGCGGTGGTATTTACTGGGGTGGGTGTGGCCTGGGGGTTAAGCGTCGAGATGCCTTCGCGGTGGGAGTGGTACAATGGGTTTTTGGGGTGGTGGAATGGATGGTATCGTTATGCGGGCTGGACTGCGGTTGGTTATGTGATGTTTGCGGGTGTACAGGCGGGCTTGCTATGGGAGGTGATATGGAATTGCAAGGAAAGCAATGGATGTGATGATGATGAGACGGAGCCGTTGCTGCACGCATGAAGGCAGTCTTAAGACCTTGCTAAACTTTGACCGATTAGGAACGAAGTGATTAGTCACTGTTAGATTGAAAGTCTGGCAAACCTCGTTGGTGAAGTCCCCACCTAAAATTGCTACCACACTTGTCTACCCGCACTGCGCACCCTATGATCAACGAAAGACGCGCACTTTATTTCACGCCAGATTCACATTCAATATTGTATCTATTGGCTTCTCTCACAGCAACAATCAGTTCATCAAAGGTATCATCAAATCTACATCACACTCACGCCAACGCGCCCATCGGGTCCCACAGCTCCAGCATCTTCGGCTTCTGCTCGAGCACCTTCTTAATCGTGGAGCTGACAACGCTGGGATCAACGACGGCCTGGTACACAAACTCATCCATCCAAGCATCGCTCATGACAAAGTAGCCCTTGTCACCTGCACGCTCACTCCATGAGTTCTCCACCCTCCAGCGCACGGGCTTGCCATCAACAACATGTACAGCCGTCAGCACCATAGCATGCGTCATCTGGCTCTCACCGGTCTGCAGACGCTCCGCCTTGGACATGCCGAGCTTGATATTGAAGCCGAGCTCGTACTCGAAGAGATCGGTGTCCATAATTCCCTTGGTGGAATCGGAGTACTTGCCCACATCCGAGCCAAAGAAGACGGGCATGCCTTTCTTCAGCATCGCAATGCAAGCATCTTTGATGGTCTTCATGTCGACATTCACATACGTCACTGGTCGGCCGTTCCAGACGTTACCGAGTCGCTTCACGCTGAGCAGACGGTTGTAAGGATTGCGCGGGTCGTTTACAAGCGAGAAGAGCGAGTGCACGTCCGTTCCAGACAGCGCGCGGACGGTCTTGTTGTCGGAGAGTTCTTTCGCAAAGGCGGTGGGTCGCGTCTTGACGGTGCAGAAGTTGCCGTCCTTGTCATAGTACTCCCAGGTGAACGGCTTGGTAGAGCACGGGGGAGGTCCTAGCATCAGTGTTAGGATCAGGTGAATTTCGCGCAGCATCTTCTCCTTCTCTTCGGCAATAGTCGCCTTGATCGCGTCTGGCGATGCGTTGCTGGATGCGATGGCACGTAGACGGACGGCATCCTCCCGCAACTTGGTGGTGATCAGACGGTCCATGGTGGACGAGTTGGACGCGTTGAACGAGTCTGGGTACAGCGAGTGCGGTACCAGACCATACTTCTGCACGAGGTTGGCCACCATATCCCACTGTCCGCCGTCACCGACAGGGCTGGACATCAGCGCCTGCACGATACGACTGTCAATCTCCTCACTGTTTGTATCCAGTATGCTTTCGAGGAAGTAATTTGCCTTCTCAATCTTGTCCCAGTAGAAGAGGTATGCCTGCGATAGCTGGAACCCGGACAACTTGTACTTCTTCATGATAGCGACGCGGAAGACGTTGGTGGAAGCGAAGAGCCAGCATCTTCCAGATGAGGCTTGGTTTGTGACAGGCGAGCCCTCGAAGGGAATCTTGATGTTGAACTTCTGGGTGTCTGCGATGACAGCGGATCGGGATGAAAGTACGGCGTTGGCAGAGTTGGAGCTAAGAGCTGCGAGAGCGAGGCGGTTCTAAAGAGGTAAGTAAGAGACAGTATAAGAGCTGTGTGTAGTACCTTTGGGTCTTCCATGAGCTCCTTCTCCCACTCTGACACTGACGCGGCAGATACATCTTGTCGGTACTTGACGCCGGGGGTGTATCGAGGTGCTTCGACAGTTAGACTTGATATATCATTCTCAACGCCATGTAACGTACGAGCCTCTCCACCAACAACGACAAATCCATCCTTCTCGTTCATGGGTCGTTCATCTTTCATGTGGAGCGCCTGGAGTCGCTCCATCAACTTCTCATTAACAGCAGCATCGGACGGTCGTGACTGGTTGTTGCCCATGATGAAGATAGGGACAGAACTTGCGGACTATCGTACAGCTCTCGATCAAGAGATAGCTATGTGTTGTAATCTGGGGAAGCTCTGGCTGCCCATCAAGGTGTCGCTCGTTATCGCGCTTATCGGGCGGGAGCAACGCGTGCATGGGTCTCGTGGCAGCCCCACTCCGATCAGATGGCTGGCGCGGAAAGTGCCCGCCTCCATACCTTCCACATTCGATCGACGTGCATCGAAGCATGATGCTTACATGCGAGACACGCCGACTTGTGCACAACTCAGCATGCAGATGCACGTTACTCACGACTGTTAATCGGGTGCTAGAGTCTATCGTTGCCTGACTGCCTCAGCCACGACGCTGCGACCACCGCGCTATTACCGCGTACGAGGCTACGAGCATCGCCTAACGGCCCATCTCCACAGACCCTGAAACTCGTGACAGCCGTTTTGCTTCTTCATCAGGGCAGCGAGTAACATTATACCGCACCAATTTAAACACTTTGAACATGCATCCAACACATCTATCACTACCTACGCAAAGAGGCCATGCTGCAACACCGGCCCCAAACGGCGCGGCTGCTAAAAGAGGGAGATGAAGATGTACAGGGCCGAACGCGTGTTTCATCACGGCGCCGCAAGGCGTTCCCCTGAGCGTACACATCACAGCCCAGTCAACGCGAGTTCCCGAAATATCGGTGTATCTCGCGCTCAGCCCTGCAAACTGAGATTTATATCCTGGTTTCCTCTTTTTGTTGCGCAAACATCGCACCTAGCCACCGACAAGCAGCGATAACCTCCAGCGGCACCGATTCACCATGGCGCAACGACCGGTATTTTGGCAGAAGCGCGTTCTCGTCCCCTTCTGGATAGTGCGCATATGTATCATGCTCTTGATCATTGGAGCAGTAGGCATTTCGCTGAGCAACGTGAAAGAACTGGAAGACGTTATCCAACCCTCAGTCTCGTAAATTACACCACCAGCGGCGCATACACAAAGCTTACAGCCAGTAGATTGCTCATTGTCATTATACTCTTCAGCTGTATAGTGCTCCTGATCGACATCCTCGCCATCCTGCTCTTCCTTCGCGATGCGCTGAAACCTGGCACTTTCCTCACCATGAACTCGTTCCAGACTGCGTTCTGGGGCGTCGCCTTGATCATGGAGTTTGCGGATATCGGCAAGGGCGGTAGCCATGTAGGCCTTGGCTTCGGCGTCTTCGTATTGTACGTTCAAAGTTCCAGGAGGTCGTTTGCAGCACTGACACATCGCAGCCTCAGCTACTTCGGTCTCTTCATCTACTCGGTCATCGGCTATCGTCGCGCGAAGGCAGAGGCCAAACGAGGCCAGTACGCACCGGCGCACAACCCATTCGGGGGTTCCGTACCTGCTCAGCAATCATCTCCGTACAATAGCACACCCGAATACCAAAACACCGCATACCATTCGCAGACGCAACCTGCTGAGATGCACAACCAATACCTTCCCCCATACCAGGGCGGCGCTGCGACCGACTACTATCAGCAGCCGGTGAAGCCTGCTCACATCGTATGAGCGAGAAATGGAGATATTAAGGATCTGGCGAAACACGGAGAAATACAGAGCATTTGGACAAGGCGTTCTGGGAATTAGGAGATTGATACCACGGGTTCCTGATACTTTCACATGTCGACATGCCGCATGAACCTTCATGCGCGGCGGTCCGAACGACTCAATAGTTTGAGTAATGGTAGCATAGTTCTTCGAGGAACGGGCCGTTTGATTACATGCGCGGGATGACATCCCATATGGTCAGTGTAAGGAACGGTTCCATGAAAATCTATAGACGGATATATGACACATCATGAACCAAACTACTTGCATATCAAAATCCGTGAATGACACCTCGAGCTCCTCACACGTGCGAAAGACTACCGGGCGCTCCTGCCCATTTGAGTGGCTGCAGCCGAGGCGCTAGGGGCGACACCCCCAAAGGCTTGGAAATGTCTCCGTTTCGGAGGTCAACAACCACTCACAGCCACAAAGCCGTTGTTTGCAGCATGTCACGACCATGGTCATTTATGCGAGGAGCAATCAGATCGCTGCTACCCGCACGTTGTGACTAGAGTGCGGCGTGTGCCATGGCTGTGTTCCTGACCTCTGTTCGCCCGTTCGGCTCGCATAATGCTTGGAACATTAGCGGTGGATCAAGACTGGGGACTCTGTGGCTGGCGTAAGGATAGGTCGGGAGAAGGGTGTTGTTATAAACGTCAGGTTCGCGCTGTTTACTTGCGTAGGTCTCAGGTCGCTCCGTCAAACACATTCGCTTCATCATCTTCCATTCGTTATTCAAGATGCGATCCTTCCTACTACTCGCTGCAGCAGTTCCTTTCGCCCAAGCCGTTCGCATCGTTCAGTCAAACGATGACGGTTGGTCAGAGGCAAACCTTCGTACCTTTTTCGACGTCCTGAACTCTGCTGGCCACGAAGTCGTGTTGTCTGGTCCCGCCGAGAACCAGTCTGGCAGAGGTTGGTAGTCGAGTCATGGCCATATACACATGCTGACTTATATCAGGATCCTCCGACGCACCCCCGAAAACCGTTGATTCAGACGGTTGCATTCATGCGTCCTGCCCGGGAGGAAGCCCGCCAACCGGCGCAAACGCGACAGACCCTCGCCTAAACTACGTCAACTCTTTCCCGGTCACCTCGATCAAGGAGGGAATCGATGTCACTGCCCCCAAGCTCTGGAACGGCGCAAAGCCTGAACTCGCCCTGACCGGACCGAACGTCGGCAGCAATGTTGCTGTTCAGGTACCCTTCTCCGGCACAGTCGGCGCTGCTGCATTCGCGGCAAAGACGGCTCAGATCCCAGCCATCGCCTTCTCTGGCGTGACAGGAGATCCTACTGCATGGAACGCACCTACTCCTTTCCATAGCAAGGTCTATGCTGACCTGGCTTTGAACGTTACCACGACTATCATCAACTCTGGAAAGCCGTACCTCCCGGCGAACTCCTTCCTGAACGTCAACTTCCCCGCTGTATCCGAGACCAAGTGCAGCGACCCCAGCCAGTTCAAGTACATCTTTACTCGCATCAACACCGGTCTTCTGAGCGCTCGCGATGCAGAATGGTGCGGTAGCACGCGCCTGCCGTGGGAGGCGGATGTCATCTTGATCCGAGGAAGCGATTGCTACGTTACCATTAGCCCTGGCGATGCAAACGACAAGACGACTATGAACGATGCTGCGGTTCAGACTGAGATCATCAACAAGCTCAAGCCGATCCTTTCGTGCTTGCCTTAAGCTGGAGGATGATGATAATCGGGCTGGTTGAGCATGAAGATCTTATGATGTACATAATACTATGAAGGATAATGCCGCTTCACAAATACCCTCCAATCTGTTCATCGCGACGCGACTACCATAACGACCCTGATCAAGCAACTGAAGTGAAAACACGTGAGGCTGATGAGTCATCGTTAACATTAGGGTGAAGGCAGTTGTAGTCTTACATCTCAACAGCCAACACAGTCAACCTACAAGATTTTCAACACCAATACCGAAACCATGTCAGACCACAATGTCGAGGCACCACCAGCACCACGCACCGACAAACTCTTATCACTCGCAGCGCGCATGAAATCATACGAAGCACAATTCGACCAAACCCTCCCACTCGACAAACCCATCATTCTCCGCCTGGATGGTCATGGCTTCTCACGCTTTACCTCGCACTTCGCGCGCCCATTCGACGAGCGCATACACACCGCCATGATATCAACATGCGCCGATCTTCTCCATTTCTTCCCCCGAGCCACAGTCGCATACACGCAATCCGACGAGATCACCCTAGTCTTCCCAGAAGGCGTAAAGAATTTCAACGAGCGAGTACAAAAGCTGTGCAGTCTGAGCGCTAGCTACTGTTCCGTGAGGTTCAACAAGCATCTCACTAATGCTCTGAAAGCCATGCCCGAGCCGGAGGTCAAGGGCGACGTGGAAGAAGTGCTTGGAACGGCACATTTCGATGCGAGGTTCTTTCCTGTGCCTGGTGTAGCGGAGGCGCTTAATAACCTTATCTGGCGCTGTCGCAATGATGCTGTGAGAAATTCTGTTTCTGCTTTTGCGAGGACTATGTATTCGACTAAGGAGATGAATGGGAGGAAGACGAGGGATCTTGTTAGTATGATGCTAGAGGAAAAAGGTGTTAGGTTTGAGGAAGCGGTGCCGAAATGGGCGATAGAAGGTTGTTTGATGAAGAGAGAGCAGTACGAGCATGAGGGCGTGAATTTGAAGACTGGCAAGATTGAGAAGACGTTTCGGACGAGGACGCGGGTGGAGGAGAGGGGTATACGCGAATTTGGAGATGAGGGGTTGAAGTTGATGACAAGTAGGTATTGGTAAAGTAACTTCGTGAGCTTATTGCTCTTCTGCGCGGCAGTCAGGCTGCGACAATAGCCACAGCGATCAAACGTCAGATGCAACCCACTCGTATGTGTGCTTTTCTTAATTCTTTCTTAGTTGATATTGAATCCGCGAAGAATAAAGGTACATAGGTTTACAGCTGTGTAAAGTTATTACAGTGTGTTTGCGTTGCGATAATATAACGTGTTGCTCAACCGCTCCATTTGGCGTTTCCAGACCAGCGCAATTAAAAAATGAAAAAAAAAAAAATGAAACAGAAAGATGTGAGTCACACACGCAACCCATACCTGATCTCCTTATGCGTAGAATTCTGCAAAAAAAGAAGTTGGGGCCTGACCGGGATTCGACTAGACGCTATTAGTTTGCGTTCGGTTTCGAATCTTAATGGGTGAACTTACACCCGGGGCCTCCTGCAGAATAGGCTTATCACGTTCACGTGATTTCCCAAAGCAGGAATCATACCACTAGACCATCAGGCCGATGGATCTCTTGAAGAGATGATTGATGGAAGGTTGTGATTTTGGTGCGTTTATATTGCGGATTTCGAAACAAAGGGGCTGCGCCGAGAATTGGCGCATTAGCGTTCCGAAGCGAGACATGCTGCATCTACCCCACCTTAGTCCACTAGTCTCACTATCTTGCCCCTCGGATTTGACCCAAGAATATTGGATATTGCATTTTCATGTTTCCACCGCGACTCGTTTTTGCTCGACACACTTAGGACCCCAAGAAACTTTCCGATGCACTCGATATAGAGCCTCAACACCGCATTCATGATCTGGATGTCTAGAGCCTGCGTTGTCAATTTAGTGATCGCACTTGAGAACAGTCATGGGGTAGCAGCAATATGAAATCATAAGAAAGTGCAACACTGAAGCACAGCATGCGAGAAAGTTTACAATTTCAAGACCAACTGTGCGCCGTAAAAGCATGTACAGTATCATGAGCATCGATTCAGGTTCCGTGGCATTTGATCGGCCTCCTAGGATCCAAAGAGGTTCTCATCCCTCCAAAAAATGGAAATTTGCTCAGACAAAGCATCAGAGTGTGTAGAATCACATCGTGGTATTAACCATAAGATAAGCGGCAGAAACATGGGTGTAACGAGAGAATAGCCATCTCGACTAGAGAAGTTCTTGGAACTGTCACTTGGTCCGCAAACACTAATCTGCCAGAATAGATGCAATGAGTATTTGCACACACGCCGCATGTAATGGATGCAGAAAGCGTTCGTGCCTCATAGTTAAAAGCTTTATCACTGCCTAGAAATATTGCAATATTTGATTAAAAGCTTTGCGGATTGCGCAAAAATGGCGCGTTTTGCCTCCAACCATTCATGATTACACCGTCATACTCATGTATCTAGCAACCCGTAGGTTCAGGTCAAGCTTGCTTAGATAGCAACGGTATGATTTGTGTAGCGCGTTGTGTTGCATTGTGCAAGTACGTGTGCTTCTCAACTGAGTAAGCCCGGTCAACCAAATCACGATGTGATCGCTTCTCGAGGTGCCCAGGCCATTCTATCGTGAAAAATGAATCCTGCAATGCAAGGAACACGCGAAAGCCTGACGTGAATCCCATGGCAAAGCGGATCATTTTCTCCACAGCAGCCGCTACCACGACCGTGCATGCTGCGCGGTCAGACTCTTATCATGGAAAAATGAGAACTTCTCCATCTTAGATAACGCATCAAGGACAGAATTCCCATGTTTGCTCAGAATGATGTACCTCTGGCGTGTTGGCGACACTATCCGCGACCAATCACCACAACTACCACCCAGCCCTGTGTCTCCACAGCCCCGCATTCCGGATACCGGTTGGGAACAGGCGCGACCCACTCAGACCACGCAAGCCAGCCGTGCCTGCAGGTGCCAACATCGTGAGATTGATGCTCGTACGTCTGTGTGGCAAGCCCAGTAAGCTAATCGTTACCAAATCTTATGCCGTGTCTCGGTCACGCGTCTAGCATCAAGCTTTTGCCCTGCTCGTCTGCAGCGGCGTTCATCTAGGGTCTCAACGAATCGTGCGGCTGGGTCGCCGCGGAAGTCACGATGCTTTGTCGGTCAGCCAAGGTGAAGGAAGGGGAGGTACGCGTATGAGCTGCAATTACATCATGCCTGTGTGACATATACATGTCAGCACAGGAGCGC